CATAGGTCTGTTATGTCATTTATGACTTGTGTGCAAAATTTGAGGTCAATCGGACTTGATTTGATAGGTTCCGGCGTCATTTGTAGAAATTGGAAGTTTCGAAGTTCATTAGGCTTGAATCTATGTGTGATTCGTGTTTTTAGTATTGTTGGATGTGATTTGAGGTTTTTTAGGACTTGTTTGTATATTTGGTTGAGGTCCCGAGGGCCTCGGGCGAGTTTCGGATAGCCTACGGACCATTTGAACTTTGAGAAAAATCTAGTTTTTAGCTTCTGCTGTCATCTGGTGCATTGTGCTTCGCGATCGCGAAGTCATTCCTGCGATCGCGAAGAGGAAAGTTGGGCAGGCACATTTTGTGCTTCGCGTTCGCGACCGAGGGCACGCGTTCAAGAAGGGTCGAAGTGCAAAGCTTCGCGTTCGCGATCGAAGCTTCGCGTTCGTGAAGAGGGAATGAGGCAGAAGCTGAAGCACCCAAAATTGTGCTAGGCGATCGCACAAGTCAGTACGCGATCCCATACGGTTGAGAAAATGTTCTCTGCGATCGCATGGCCATTTACGCGATCGCGTGGAGTTAAAATTTCGGGCAACCAAAATATGATTCGCGATCGCAAAGTATTATCCGCGAACGCAAAGAGTAAAATGGACCTAGGCAAAAGTTGTTCTACGCGATCGCGAACGAATTTCCGCGATCGCGATGAGTAAAAATCTGGGCAAACAGAACTTTAGTTCTAGAAATGAGATTTCGACCCATTTTTCACCATTTTCGATTTTGAGCTCTGCCAAGACAATTTTTGGGCGATTTTCACGGGAAAACATTGGGGTAAGTGTTCCTTATCTTATATTGATTATATTTCATGATTCCATACTCATTTACGTCATGAATCCGTGAATTTATGGAAGAAAAATCAGATTTTCATAAAATCTTCCAAAAATGTAAAATGAAGATTTGAAAGCCAATCCGATGTAGTAATTCAATAATTTTTGTATGGTTGGACTCGTATCGGAACGCGTGTTCGGATTTTGAGAGTTTTTCGGGATTCGAGACGTGGGTCCCACTGTTGATTTTTAAAATAAATTTTGAATTTTTATCCGGAAAATTTATAAATTCATATGGAATTAATTCCTACAATTTGTATTGAGTATATTGAATTGTTTATGACTAGATTTGTGGATTTCAGACACTAATTCGCGGGGCAAGGGTGTATTGAAAACTTGAATTTGGCTGCGAAGCGAGGTAAGTGTCGTGGTTAACCTTAACTTGAGGGAATACAACCCTTGAATTATTTGTTATGTGAGATGCATGTGTATGCCGTATAGGCAAGGTGACGAGTGTCTATACATCATCAAATTAATTATTTGCATAATTACTTGAAAAATCATAAATCATTTTAAATCATGAATTAATTATTATATTGATTATTTCACTCATATTCCTTGTCAAATATTAATTCTTGAATTCCTGCAATAATTGTTACATGCTTATTTTACTTATGTGTCTTAATTGCTATTTGACATTTATCATACTAAATATTAAACTGCCTATTTTCTCCATGATTTCCACAATTAATTGCTAATTATCATTGTTTGATCATAGATAAATTATAATTATTGTGTGCCTTGATGCTTAATAGTTTCTCTTTGGACGTGGTATTTATTGGAGTAATTTTTATTACATTTATGAGTTTTTAAAATATATCGGGGGATCAGGTTGCACGTTGCAACGGAAATAAAAGTAAATCTATATTGGGGGATCGGATTGCACGCCGCAACAGACTTATTTAAAAGTCTATATTGGGGGATCGGGTTGCACGTCGCAACATAATTGTTTAAAATTTATATTGGGAGAACGGATTGCACGCCGCAATAGAAACAAGTTGAGGGATTGTGACTGCTGAGTTGATTTCAATTATTAATATTATTTACTGGTCTTACTAATATTCCCATTATTATTATTGTTGTTATTACTATTATTGCGTACAGGTTAAATGTAAGTGACCCGCCTTAGCCTCGTCACTACTTCGTCGAAGTTAGGCTCGGCACTTACTAGTATATGTGGTCGGTTGTACTGATACTACACTCTGCACTTTTTGTGCATATTTCGGAGTTGGTCCCAGTGGCGTACCATAGACTTGCTCGGATTTCAGCTACTCAGAGGAGACTTAGGTATAACTGTACGGCGTCCGCAGTTCTGAAGTCCCCGTCTACATTACTTTAGTTGTGTGTTTGCTTTCAGACAGCTTTATTTTATTCAGACCCTTATTTGTATCATTCTAGAAGTTTGTGCACTTGTGACTCCAGTTATGGAATGGTATTTAGACATTGCTAGTATTATGAATTATTCACTATATTTCAGACTTTACTTCCGCATTTGTTTCTTTGTTATTAATTTTTTTTTTTTTTAAATAGCTAATATTATTCTAACGTTGACTTGCCTAGCAAGTGAAATGTTAGGCGCCATCACGGTCCCGAAGGTGGGAATTTTGGGTCGTGACACTACCATATAATAGCTTAAGTAAAATCAATTTTTCTTTCCAATTTTGCGAGACCGCATCCAAGTAAAATGACATCTGCATCATTAGTTGGCTAGAAAGACGTGATGAACATGCATGATAAACATATATTTAGAAAAAGAAACTTTGTACCTTGGAGTATTTGCTCGAGATGGCAGAGTCTTGTGTTGATAACGTATTATAAAATAAACAATATAAAGTAAATAAACTGAAGACAAGTATAGAGAGAGATTGATATATTATTCAACTTCAAATTGATATACATATTGAACCGAAAACTTCTCTATTTATAGAAAAAAGGAAGCAACTGCTAAACTTTTCTTGAGATGCTTGTAAGCTGACTTCATGAGTTGCTTGCAACCTGCCTGTTTAATAAGAACCTGCTGCAAATCATTTCATTGAGTTGCTTGCAACTTGCCTGCATCAGCAACTTGTAGATAAACTTCAATAGAGAACTTAATAAATAATCTTCTTCAGAAAGATTATATATAGCGGAGTAATAAATAGACATCCATAATATAATTATTTTCATAACATGACCCTATTTGTTAGCTTAGGAGACACTTTCTTTTTCTTCTTTCTGAACATTATACTAACATTTAGACCGCCTGACCCCATTTCCCCAACAAACAAAAAAACATTTAGACAGCCTGGTACTTTCTCTTTACTTTTAGATATTACTTTCTTTTATAAGATGAGTCTTGGAGCATAGTTAAATTTCTCTCTATATTATCTATATGTCACAGGTTCGAGTCGTCGGACGTAATCACTTATGTTTGTATTAGGGTAAATTATCTACATCACTTCCTTTGGTGGTGTGGTTTCCAGAACCCTACGTGAACGCGTGATACTTTGTTAAGCACAATGCCCTTTTGTTAATTACTAGTACTTAATTGCTTTTTCGCCAGAAATTTGTGAGAGACAGCAAGGATTTTAACCATTTCTGCAGTAGTTTTTTGACTTGTGAACGTTCATGTCTTAAGAAAAGAGACATATATGCATCAAGTTATTCATGTAGTTATGTGTTGCTTTGTCACATTTTCATCATTTGTAAGAAATCATCTAATCTCTTAAAGATGACGGCCAGAAAGTTCAATTGTTCACTTATTATGTTTCTCTATTAGCTCTGCTAAGCTAATGAAATTTAGAACATTAGAAGAAATGACAATTATATGGTCCTTTTTCAATATTACTTTATCCGACAAGGTTTTAATTTACCTCTGCATTTAGTATAATAAGATCAATAGATGAAAACGATGACTTAGAATAAAAAATTTAGGGAAAATGATATTATATAGTTGCTATAAAAATAATAACTGAATTTTTTTTTTATTTATATATATTCATTTTTGTATGCTATACAAAAAATATACAAATTTTATACACTTTTGTAGCTACCAAATATAAATAGTTTTAACCGGGGCAAAAAGTAATCTTTTCTGAAAATTTTATAAGCCACAATTTTGTGACTTTCATATGAATATATATACTTACAACGTGAAATCATTATAATTGAAAGTAGTATATTTTAAGAGAATCTAATCCGCTGCACTGTGGAATTTGCTTTTTAAACTGGTTAGAACTCCGAATCTACTGACTTTGCATTCTATAACCCCTCTGCCCCAGGCCATCTCCAACCCTTCACTCCAAAATGGAACACTCCAACCATTACTCTATTTTTTACTTCAAAAAAAAAATATATCCTTTTAATATTCTTCTTTCTCTTCTATATTATATTATTATCTTTTATTTAAATTTTATTTTCTTATTTCCATTAAACAAATCCTATCTTTTTTTCTTTTATACATATTCATCCCATATAATTTATATTTCTTTCTTATATAACCATTTAAAATAAAATTATTTTATACCATAACTAGAAAATAAAATTTTACTTATTCGATGTGGATTTTATTGTCGATCCGAATCATCGTGAATTTTTGCGACAAGAACAAAAACGAATAATGGATAAAAGAAGTCAACAATTTCCACAGCTACAACCACAACAATCCTTTGCCCCATTCACTCAATTCTTTAATGATTTTGGTGTATCTTGAAATGACTTACCTACCTACTAAATTATTATGTTATTTAATGTAGTTTCAATTTTTATGTATTTTTAATTTAATGTATTTTCAATTTTAATGTATTTTTATTTAATGTATTTTCAATTTTCACTTTTCAATTTTAGCAACATCTTGTATTTTATATTTGCACCTTTCATTTTTGTGATGGTTATATATATTTTTATACAATTATAACTTATAATAAAATTATCTTATAATTTTACATAAAAATAATATATGCACAACAATGCACTCACTGAGTTACTTACGAAATCTCAAATCTCTCTCGACGCCGAGAATTATTTATGCGTCCAGGTTAATTTATCAAAATTATACACCAAAATTAAAATATAAAATTAATATTATAAAGATATTACCTAAACATTATTAGGTATATATAATATTATAAATTAAAAGGGTTAAATAATATAAGATAATAATAAAATAATAGAAAATAGTAATAGAGTGGATGAATAATGTCACTTCAAATTTGGAGTGACAGCGTTCACCCTCCAAATTAGAGACACCGGAATGGAGCAAACTAAGACCTCTTTCCAGATGTATCTTTCCCTGTTTGCAAGAACAAACAAGGAATTCCCAATAAAATAGGAGGAAGAAAAAAAAAAGAGGAAAGAGATATTAGAAAAATAACGACGATCCAGCTCCAAACAAGTTGAATCTATTATCAAATTTTGTGATGTATGAGACCACAAACAGTAACAAGAGCCATGACCAATGAGTTATCAACATGAGGTTCCACCACCAATGTTAATACATCACTTCCAAATAGTACTCCTGAAGTTGCTTGTTTTTGTTTTACCTGATAGAATACAAAGCCAAAAAGAATTTTATACTATTAGTATATTTTAGCTTGTTGTAACGGATAACCTGCATTATTTTTTCAGATTATTATTTCAAATTTTATGGACGGTTATATATTGTTATACATCTCAAAAGGGTAATGACTAACCTCTGCAACAAGTCTGCTTACTTGGGTCACAATCTTAATTGATTTTATTCCAAGGATAATATTATAGCAGTTTGCTTCAGCTTGATTACATCCCAATATAACATTATAGTAATTCATATTATCTTCCCTAAGGACATTGTGAATTTTCTTCACTTGAAACCATGGTATCTCCTTACTAGTCACTCCTTCGTAACTCCATTTATAGCCATCCCAATGTCCAAAAACTGGAACTTTCTGAGGGAAAAAAAGGAAGAAAAAACAAGAAAATATGTAAGCATTTGAAGAATTAATTAACTAAAAAAATATAATTTTCTAACAGTTTAAATTTCTATATAATATGATCATATAATTCAACATGGTATTAGAACAGACAAAGTCGTGAACTCAAATCTCACTGTCACTCAATTATTTGAAGAAATTTTTCGTGTTTGGCTCATAAAAAAAGAATCAATCCGGCGCGTAAGCGGCCAACTTATGCTTACCCTATTTCGAATAGAAAAGAGAACCCTGCCATTGGAATCCATGAGATGGACTTCCTTGCTACGTTTTATGTTGTAGTTGTCAATTCGGTAAACAATTTGGCCTTTTGAATCATAAACAGTGCAGCCATTTCCATGGTAGACTAGAGATTTCATCCACAAAGTAAATATTTCTCTTCTTGGGCTCATGTAAGAGTTTGAAGAAATTGAAGAAGAAGAAGAAATAGTACTTAGATTTGACTTGTTAGAGTAAACTTTAGCCATTGAAAATGGGCTTATTAGAGAGGAATTTGGATGTATTTAATTTGAGGAAGAAGACAATGGAAAAGGGTATATATATACATGCAAGAAGAATATAAAAGAGATGGATTAACTAAGCGGACAGAACCATGCACAATAAAGTTTTCCACTTTCTTGGTCTCTTCTTTCTGGCTAATGGCTTAAAGCCTAAACAAACGTGCAAATATTAACTTTTTTTTTTTTTACATGCTCCCGGGTCAACTTGCGTGTATTTGGATTATTTTACCAGATACTTGTTACTAGAAGCGGACCTATGTGTAACCTTGAGGGGTCATCAGACTCTATATACTTCGATAGAAATTTTATATATGTATGTATATACCTTAAAAATGGTTAATCTAAATCACTTAGTAACCTAGACACAACCTTTAGGGGCACTGGTTGAGCAGAATACCGATGCCCCCGTCGCGTTAAAATCTTGGGTTCGCCTCTACTTTCTATATTCAATAATATAACCAGTTAAGCAACTTATGTGCACCTCGACTATTTCATAGGATACCTAGTACATATAGTCAAGTAAATGGAAATAAATCACCAAATTTAATTAAACTTGATATCTAAAATTTACGGCTACTTTATTGATTACTAGACCACGTTATAATTGCTGATATTAATCGTTTAATTCATATGAAAAGTTGAAAATGAAATAAGCAAAAGAAAGAGGGGAATAAAGAAGAGAATATATGCAAAAGTCAATTTCTGAAACAGCTCGACGATACATTCGAGGATTGACGGTTCATACTTAAAACGGCAAAGGTTCAAATATACCCTTGCTTTCAAAAATAGTTTAAGAATAACCCACATTATACTATTGAGTTATTTATACCTCTGCAATTATACTTTGGGTTCAAATATACCCCTCATTTAAACAGAGGGACACGTGTCATCGTCCTGTTGGTCAATTCTAAATATTTTTTAATTAATTAAAAATACTCATTACCCATATCCGAAAAATAATTTTTTTTTTATAAAAACTGAAAAAAACTAAAATATTTTTTTACTAAAAACTGAAAAAAACTAAAATATTTCTTTTCCAGTTTTTTCTAAAGCAGTTTTTTTGTAAAAACTGAAAAAAAAATATTTTCGTTTTTTTATTTTTAGTAAAAATAATTTCAGTTTTTTTCAGTTTTTACAAAAAAGAAATTGCTTTAAAAAATTATTTTTTGGGTATGTATAATGGGTCTTTTTAATTAATTAAGAAATATTTAGAATTGACCAATAGGACAATGACACGTGTCCCTCCGTTTAAATGAGGGGTATATTTGAACCCAAAGTATGATCGTAGGGGTATAGATAACCCAATAGTATAACGAGGGGTATTCTTAGACCATTTTCGAAAATAGAGAGGTATATTTGGCCCTTTGCCGTAATTAAAACATACACAAGTGCTATTGCTGTGTTGCACTCGAGGTGGTGGTTTCTTTTTAGCTAATTATACAAACCGCTAAGAATTTAATTCTTTAGATGCCTTATGCTTTTAGCATTGGAGTTCTAATTAATAAGCGTTATATTGGAATCTTCTAGCTGTACCTACATACTTCTTGATGTACTCTGGAGAGACAGCGAGTGTAAGCTCACTGTCTTTCGCTCAAGTTATTTATATATAATTAATTTTGTTAAAATATTTGTATATGTACAAAATTCAATCTTATTATCATAACGGGTACGGGTAATCATTATTCTCCCCAAAACCCACTAGTGGAATTACACTGAGTATATTGTTGGTGAAACACCTACTCAAAAGTAACTGATCACGCCCAACTCTAGTCCTGTTAGCCCAAGTGAAGTTTTGTTTTGATGATTGACAGAGGAACTTGTGCATGAATCGGGTCAATACACAGTATACAAAGATACGGGCAGATTTGAGCATAAGGGATGCACGTGAAGGAGATAAGCTTAAGTTGTTATATCTGATATCTCCTGATCGAAAATGTTGCATAAATAATAAGGAGGACTCCTTACTCGAAGAGAACTTTATCCAAGATAAGGGAGGAGTTAGAAGTTGAAGATAACTAGAACTCGTCCACCATGGAAGTGTAGCATTAGAACTCTAGTTATTTCCCATTCTACTAACTCTATATATTGCAGGATGTTCTCATTTTTACAGGAACGCACAAATGCTGAAGTTAAACGTGAGTTGAGAGCAAAATAGCAAGACATTTTGCAAACAATTCTTGTGTGAATCAAGTGTGCGAACCTGAACCTACATGAACGAGATAGAAGAACCAGTTTCAAGCGTCTGTCTTTTATTCTAGTTCAATTGTAGTAGGTGTTTTCAAGTTGTACCTTTCAGCTTTATCTAGAAGCAATTGTATTAGGTACTCTGAGTATTAAAAGTTAGAGTTAACTTGAAGTTGTCGCAACAGTTAGAGGTTTGTTGCCACAACGGGATTATAGTTAATCCTTAGGTTTACAAAGATTTTTGTAGATGTTGTTTTCGCTCAGTGATTTAGTGAAGTGTTGGGAAAAATCCTACTGAGTATTAGGTCGTGGTTTTTTCACATTTTGAGCTGGGTGTTTTTCACATAAAAATACTTGTGTTCTTTACTTTTCGCATTTACTATTTCCACAATAGTAGTATAAGAAATACATAGAAGAACCAGGTCCTTCTATAATCAGTGCACGTGAAAATTGGACACCATACAAATCACCCCCTCCCTCTTATGTGGCATTGAAGTATAAAATATCAATTGGTATCAGAGCGGGCTATCCTTAAAAAGGCTAACACCTTAGGAGAAGATCAAGATGAGTGCACCACCTGAAAACTAGAAAGGGCAATCCACTACTAGGCCACCACTCTTTAATGGCCAGTACTACTCTTGGTGGAAAAATAAAGTGAAGAGATCCAGAGGAACTCTATTGTATTCTCAATATGAGAACTTTGCTATGAAGGAAGGAGAAACCATCCAAGAGATGTACACAAGGTTTACTACCTTGACAAATGAGCTAAAGACTCTTGGAAGGATTATTCCTGAAAAAGATAGAGTCGAGAAGATACTAACAAGGGTTTTGCCTATCACTTGGGAAAGCAAAATTACTGCCATTCAAGAATCAAAGAACATTGTCACTCTCCCACTAGATGGATTAATTGGAAATCTTACTGCCTATGAATTTAGGAGACAAACCATGAAAATAGATGTACCTAAGAAGGAAAGGAAATTGGCACTCAGAATCACTGAAGGTTATGATCTAGAAGATGATGAAATAACTATGATCACCAAGGACTTCAAGAAGTTCCTGAGGAGAGGAAAGGGTTCTTCAAGAAGTGGAAGCTATAGCAAGTCAAAAGTTCCCGAGAAGCAAACCAATGATGGCTGCTACAAGTGTGGAAAGACTGATCACCACATCAACAACTGTTGTCCTTTATGGAAAATTGAATGGAAGCAGGAAAGAGCTGAACGAAGGAACATAAAGAAGGAACAGGTTCAACCCAAGAAAAGCAATAAGAAAGGATCAACCAAAGCTATGGTCATTGCTTGGGGAGAAAGCTCAGATGATGATGATGATAATGATGATGAGGATGAACAAGCACTTATGGCCATCGAAGAATCTGATGGAGAAACTGAGGTAAGTGTAATTCGTCTCAAAGACAAGATTAAATTATTATCTAAAGAAAGGTTGTCTGAGTTACTTCTAGAACTAATTGATGAATCTGAGAATGTAAACAATAAAAAGGAGCAGTTGTCTAAAGAATGTGTGATATTGAAGGCTAAGTGCAAAAATGTGGAACTTAGGGTTAGTGAAACTGTAAGTGAAAATATTGTGTTGAAGAACCAGGTTCATGCACTTGACTCAATTGTCCTAGAGCTTAGATATGAAAATCTAAAACTGAAATTAGGAACAGGTAAAAAGATAGTTGATCACACACAACTCACTCTAGAAGAAAAACTGTTACACCCCATGTTTTCGTACGTGAAAGTACGTCGTAAGTCAATTGATGTAAGCTCGGAAATGAGATTCTCTTTGAAAGTATATAAAGTAATCTAATGATATTACATCCCGTATTTCCGTTCAACATACAAACGACTAGGTTGAGGAAGAATGCACTTAAACGTGAAAAAAGAGATTCTGGTAAAATAAAAACGAGCTGCTTGCTTACCCGACGTGCCTGGTTCACCAACTTACTTTCTGTCCAACTAGCTTGAGCTACTTAACACATGTCGTGACTATTAAATAAGGGTAAGATATGTGTCTAAGTGAATAAGGGCAGCATGTGACACCTATTAATTAACCAAGCAGGTGACAAGTAGGTGTGTCACCTACTTGCTAAAAGGGAAGGCCCAAATTAGTCCACCTAAATGGACATGTGTAGGTTAGCCAAGAGGGCCCTTTTAGGGGCTGAATCAAGTCATATATCCTCATAATATCCAAGTAGTAAAAACATAAAGAGAACCACGAAATTCTCTCCCAAATTGACCTACTCCAAACTCTCAAGAATTTGTTGATAATCTTCTTTTTCTTTCAATTCAAGTTAAAGGGTAATCTCCAATCTTGAAGGATCGGATGTGAAGGAAGTTAATGGCCATCAAGGGAAATATACTACCATTTTTTCATCCCTATAAGATTTGATATAGGTAAGAAAATCCTCCCTCCTTCATATAATTGAGTTTATCTAAGTTCTAGCTAGGATGTTTGGTGAAAGACTTGTGAAGTAGGGGATGGAAATTGAGTGGAAGTTGTTGTGGTGTTATGGACTGTTTGGAGTAGTTTCATATTATTATATGTATGTAACATAAGAGTATTGTCTTGGACATGTTGTGTTTAATCTTATTGGTGCCTTAACTAAGTTGTGGGGGTAAGAATTGATGAAGTAATAATCTGAAAATCAATTTTCAGTTGTGTAATTTGTGGACTGTTAGGAGTACATTTTTATGTGGTGTTGTAGCTTAAAAATCAGTATGTATAACCTGAGTATATTGTGGTTGTAATTATTGAAGTGTATTCAAGTTCTAGCTAAGTTATAGGGATGGAAAAGCGCAAAGTAGCACT